GTGATTTGGATATACCACGACCACGTCCTCGCAAACCACCCAGGTTGGAAAGAAACATACAGGGCGGTAAGACAGCGTTTTTTTTGGAACGGCCAAAAAACGACGTCCGACTGTATGTCAAGTCGTGCCACAAAACCACTGAACGCGCGCACAGATGACCCGATCTCCGCCAGAACACCGCGACACCCCTGGGAGGTAATCAGCATAGATCTCATGGGCCCCTACCCGCGTACGAGTAGGGGAAAACAATATTTACTGGTTGYCACGGATTTGTTTAGTAGATGGACCGAAGCATACCCGCTCGGAACAGCCACTACAAAGACAATAACCGAAACGCTTGAAAGAGAATTCTTTTCACGTTTCGGATATCCCCGTGTGTGTTTAAGCGACAACGGCCCGCAGTTCGTAGCAAACGACATGCGCAAAGCAATCAAACGATGGGGGGCTGAGGGCTGGACAACTTCGGTATATCATCCGAGGGGCAACCAAGTCGAACGCAGCAACCAAGAAATAAAAAAAGGTCTACGCGCGCTACTCGTCGACGGCAACCACAACACTTGGGACACCTAGTTAGCCCTCATACTGTTTTCGATCAGGAATAGACGCAACGACGGTACTTGTCCTCGGCAGAGAGGGCAAACGGCCGGGGGACTGGGCACTGTCTCGGACAGCGGACAACCCGACCGAACAAACAGATAGGGACAGAGCGAAACGTGAAAGCGCCGTACTGGACGTACCACCTGCAACAGGGGGCCAGGCGGATACGAAATACAAAACAGGTGAAATAGTGTACTATAATTTCTAAAATTTCACGCCGGTTTTGCACCAAAATGGTGGGACCGGTCAAGCTGAACAAACGCGTGGGCAAAGGAGTGTTTCTCACGGACCAACTACCGGCTCGTAAAATCCACGTGTCATGCCTTAAACGGGCGACCGTTAAATTTGGAATTAGATATAGATAAGAATGAGTAACAATAAATACAATTTAATATATCGTATATATAAATATGTATATTCGTGGATAACAGTACATAACAGTGGTATTTGTTGTCTCCGTCTTATCAGTGCGTAATATAGCAAATTTACGCTCAGCAGAACACTTGTATCTCCTTTAGTTTAAAAATAACTGTAAATCGACCTATTATGAAACTTGATGGTAAGAACATTATCTGTGTTTGTACGTTGGTTTTTTACGATAATTCAATTTTTAAGTGAGTTATGAGTATTTTTAATTTACTGTATATTATATGCTCACAACTCACTTAAAAATTGAATTATCGTAAAAACCCAACGTACAAACACAAATAATGTTCTTACCATCAAGTTTCATGATAGGTCGATTCACTGTAATTTTTAAACTAAAGGATCTACAAGTGTTCTGCTGAGCGTAAATTTGGTATATTACACACTGGTAAGACGGAGACAACAAATACCACTGTTACGTACTCTTAATCAAAAAACAGAAAACGACGATACAAATGTGTGACAACCATGAATATTAGAGATAAGGAGACCAAACTCCGTATACAAAATATGGCCCGACAAAAGTCGCACGGTTATTCTGCCACCAGGAGCGCGTCGTTCAATTAGAGGGCTATGTTTTACCACGTATTATATGTATTTTACTATAAATGTACGTTTTTTTTGTATTTGAATGAAATATAAAATATCATTCATTACTTATTACCTGCTTATATTAAAGTATACTTAAATATACAATTAAAGTTAAAAWGGTGTTTCCTGTAAAAAAAGTTTAAAATTCAAAATATTCTATAATGACTACGAGTTTAATGAAAAATTGTATGTATATAAATAATACATGAACTAAAGTTTTGAAAATTTTCTACTACACTTGGTTTAGATATCTTTTTATCAATATTTATAGACCTTTTAAGAGGAGGTTTTCTATTCATTGTATGCTTTGTTAGATAAAATGGCAAGTTCGGAAATATAGATGGAACTGCCCCTGCTTTTAATATGGGTCTAATTCTTTTAATTTTATTTACTGTTCAATCATTTAAGATAGTCTCGTCAAAAAGTAGAATATCATTCTCTTCGAAATGCAATTCACATATATAGCACTTTTCTGTAAGCATTTTGTCTCTTCTAGGTATAGCTCTATGCCATCTTGCTAAAAGCTCTGTATTCTAAATAACATATGTAATAAATAATTAAATAGGAAAATTATTATTCATAAATAAGGTTAAGATATTTTGTTTTTCTTTTACTTTGGGTGCTTTAAATAAACTTTTATTTTTTAATCCAATTGATTTTTGTTGWTTKACATCTAAAGCATAACCAGTATTACACCCTGGTACAAAACAGCGCTTAACCATTTTTAATGTTTAGGTAAAAAAAATACAAATACAAATTACTCTGGTTTTATGTGTAATTATTGTATTTAAATAATCAAACAAATACAAAATAATAATAAAAATTATTTGAAACATTATCATAGTATACATTGTCTATTTATAAATTTAATATGTTGATGAATTCAATAATAAATAATCATATGGAAATCATCCATGTCCATGTGTTTAATAGCTAATCATAATAATATATTTGTTTTTTATTATTGAACCAATTTTAACCAATATCCCCCTAATTCTGTATACATGTTTTAGATCTGATCTAAATCATAAAGTAATAAATTATTTGTAAGGAATAATAAATCATGTTTAATTCGAAAAACATACATAATCCTATTATAGTATAAAACTAAATGCTATAATTGTAAAATGTAGCCCTATAATCGAACGACGCGCTCCTGGTGGCAGWATAACCGTGCGACTTTTGTCGGGCCACTTTATAAACTGGCGGCTCATAGGAGTTTGGTCACCTTATCTCTAATCTTTATGGTGACAACCACGGCTTTAGATAGACCACGGTTTACGAGAGTTCTTATCTAAAATTCGAAAAAGTGAACTACTACTAACGCTCTCGGTGGTTGTTAATTGGAGTAATTACAATATTACCATATGCACATATCCCGCCATAATATTAAATAATTATTGAATGTCCAATTATAAATATAATTGAGTTAATAGCTTAAGTATAATCACGATTCACTGATCTCGTGCTCTATCTACGTAATAATTATATGATTATGTTATGTCACACTACTATTTAAACAAAATCTCATCATTATTCACTCTAGTGTGTGTTTTGATTATTGGTTTTGTGAATTTTGGTTTTGGAAAAAAAAATAGAAAAATATTCAATTTTTTCGTCTTGAATTTATATTATGTTAATAATATGTTGTCCTATTTGCTTGTTAGATAATTGGGACCATACCAATAAAATCCAAAAAAAGTAAATTAGAGTTTATATATATTTAGAATGAAAAATAATTTTTACAGTAACCTTTACGTGTACATTATATTGTACACGACTTTTTTTTTCAAACTAATTTCGTGTACAGAAATGTGTACACGTCTGTACTAATATAACATAGGAATTAAATATTGTGGCCCCTAGGACCAGTTTTGTCTACTCAGCGAAGATAGGAAATGGATATTTCTTATTTAAATCAAAATTATAAAAAAAGAAGTTTTTGCAAATTATCACTTAAAATTTGTTGGACAGTAAAAAAATATTTGAATATACAAGTATGGAGATTTGTTCGTGTACAAAAAAATGTACATGTGGCAGTTAACCTATTAATTTTAATAGTATCACATAATTGATATTTATATTTAAGATTGCTAACAAAGTGATGTCCTTTTAATTGTAATTTTCATTTCATAATTTGTTAATTTTGTTGTTTAATGGATTATCAGATTATCCATACAATTTGTAAATAATGGTAGTAATACTGTACTTTTATGAACACGAAAATACAAAATAAGAATATAATATTTTTATGATGTTTATGTAAGCAATTAGTTACTAGATAGCGCTATAACGTAACTTTTAACAGATTTCTGATAAGATCAATTGGTGATTACAAAATAATGACTCGTTGTGCTACCATTCTATCTAAAGCTGAGGTGACAACAAAGGCCACACTGCTGGCTCGTCGAAAACAACAGTTAGGCTTCACGCCAACCGGTACTACAAAAGTGGAACGGAAAGTTGCCACATTAACACAAAATTACGAAAACGCCTTGTTTGGGCGCAAACAGATATAATATAAACATAATTTAGATGTAAATTATAAATCGTGTAAAATTAAATCAACTTACCTTGCTCTATAATAGACAGAGAATATCCGATGATAATTAAGAAGAATATAATATATTTTATAATTATAAAATATTCATTAAATGTTATGATTAAAGTGGAAAATTAAGTGATTTATTTGAAAAGTTTGCAATGAATTTTAAAGCTTTTCAGTAGAATATAAATTTCGAAACATAATAATTAGGGTTAGGCGTACAGGCATTGGGAAAGTGGAGTCCCAATCGCCCAATTTACCGATGGTATATTACAATAGCCTCCACACTGACTTTAAGTAGTTGGTGTGGACTAGTCCTCCAGGTTGGGGGTTGAGCGTCGGGCTAACACCCTGACCTCGGAAATAAAGCACTCGTTAAGAAACCTTCAAATGGGCCTCGGAATTATATTGATCATGGTAAACGACTGGATTTGGAAACTGGATTTCKTTTGGGAACATGGAATATTAAAACACTCAACAAACCGAAAGCATTTAAATATGTCATAGATGCTAAAAACTCATATAAATTAGACATTCTAGCACTACAGGAAGTACGATGGCCTGATAGTGGAAACATTAAAACGGGTAGTACAACAATATTTTACAGTGAGACTAACAATGGCAGACATGAGAATGGAGTAGGTTTCATTATTAATGAGAAAATTCTTCATAACACAAAGGGTTTTACATCTATAAATGACCACATTTGCTGCATTAAAATATCTGGACGACATTTTGATCTAATTCTGATCAACTACTACGCTCCTACAGAGGACAAAGTCGATGATATAAAGGAAAAATTTTATGATGAACTAGAAACAGAGGTGAACAGCTTACCTACTCACAGTTTGAAAATGATAGTTGGTGATTTTAATGCTAAAATAGATAGAGAACACATATACAGACCCATAATAGAACCAGATAGCCTGCATAAAATAAGTAATGACAACGGTACAAGACTAATTCACTTTGCCACATCACAAGAATTAACAATTAGTAGCACTTACTTTCCAAGAAAAGATATTCACAAATACACATGGGTCTCCCCAAATGGTCGAGTTCACAATCAGATAGATCATATAATGATAAATAAAAGACACGCCAGTTGTATTAGAAAGGTAAGAACTTTTAGGGGATCGAATACTGACTCAGACCATTACCTATTATTTGCACAGTTTAATCTTAGACTCTCTACAAAATGGAATATGGTGAAAAAATCAACCAGAGAAAAGTATAATATTCAAAGACTAGAAGACTCTGAAGTTCAAAAGAGATTTGTTAAAATGATACAAGAAAATATTCAAATAAACCAACCTAAGAAAGAAACGCAAACAATTGACTCCCTTTGGTGTAATCTAAAAGAAGTATTAACAAACAGTGCTATAGAGCATTTAGGTGTTGAAAAAAGAAAAAAAAAACAGAAGAATTGGTTAAATATTGTATGAAAAGAAGCAGTGGATAAAAGAAACGAGTTAAGAAAGAAAGTACTACAAAATCCATCAACTAGCGACACTGATAAATACGAAGCACAAAGAAAGGTCACAAACAAGATAATAAGAAGAGAAAAGCGTCTATATGAAAAGAAAATGATTAAAGACATGGAAACAAATAGATTTAATCCAAAAGTATTCTTTAATTTAAGTGGAAACATTAAAAAGGGCTATAAACCACTAACAAAGATATTAACAAACAAAAGCGGAAATCTCATCACTGAAGAAAAACAAATAGTAAACGAATTTAAAGATTTTTTTGAAAAACCATTAAATAATGGACAAACTGATGACAATGAAATTGATGAAATAGATTATTACACAGTGGAACCAGAAATCGAGGAACCTACTCAAAATAAAATCGACGCGGTTATTGACGGACTCAAAAATAACAAGGTATCAGGTGATGATGGTGTGGTTACAGAATTGTTAAAAGGAGGAGGAGTACCGCTAAGAAAGAAGCTATCAAAAATCATTAGGTGTGTATGGAGAGAAGAAAAAATCCCAGACGATCGGAACACGGCTATAATGTGTCCTGTATATAAATAAGGAAACCCGACAGTAACGGAGAAGTATAGAAGTATCTCTTTACTTGGCGTAGGCTATAAAGTACCTACTAACAACGGTAATCTTAGAAAGAATAAATATATATATGCCAAAGACATTATCGGAAGTTACCAATGCGGTTTTCGAAAAGCTAAGTCAACCACCGACCACATCTTCGTGATAAGACAAGTGATGGAAAAATATTATGAATTCAACGAAGAACTACATTTATTATTTATCGACTTCAGACAAGCTTATGACAGTATAAACAGAAAGGAACTATGGAAAGGTTTAGAACTACTCGGAATACCAAAGAAGTATATAAATCTCGTTAAAATGTGTAATGAGAAAACAATCTGTAAAATATGCTACTTACAAAATTATTCGGAAACATTTGAGGTACAATCTGGTCTACGCCAAAGAGACGCCCTCTCTCCCACATTATTTAATCTAGCTCTGGAAAAAATAGTAAGAGATACAAACGAACAACGGAACATGGACATAATTGGGAAGTCGGTAATTTTAGCTTATGCATATGATATTGCAGTATTAGGGAAGACGAAAGAAGAAATTGTTCAAACAACCATAGCCTATGTATAAATGAAAATGAAACTAAGTATATGATGATGTCAATAAATAATCAGAATACAAACAATCTTTTAATTAGTAACATGAAATTCGAAGCAGTAGATAATTTTAAATCCCTGTGAGAGAGGCTTCAAATAGGTACAGATTAAAGGCATCAAAATATATAGCTGTTACTGCTCTCCAAACACGGGTATTGTGAATTTCACAGATTTTGTGACGAGACTTGAAAACAGTATTAGAACATCAAAGGTACCGACCTTGGTTTCCGGGGACTTCAATGCCCACTCCCCCAGCTGTGGCAGCGCTAAAGAGGACAAAAGAGGTGAAATACTGGCTGACATGATAGCAACAACAAACCTCAATATATGCAACATAGGAAACGAACCAACCTTTGTAAGAGGAGCTTTTCGAACATACATAGACATCACCCTGGCCAGCGAAAACTTAATGCCCCATGTTAAAAATTGGAGAGTCTTGGACGAAGAGTCTCTTAGTCTACATAGGTATATAATGTATGAAGTAAAGGAAAAGAGCCCGCACAGAGCACAACAAGTATGTACAGGATGGCAAATCAAGAAACTAGACATGGAGAAACTTAAATTAACAGTCAAAGCAGAAAGTGACTCAAGGCAAGCAAACTGGCAGACCGCGGCAGCTAGTGCAGAGAATTACTGCAGTAAGATAACACATATTGCAGATAAATGCATACCGAGGAATAATGGCAAGCATAAAAAACCACCAGTCTACCGGTAGTCCGAAGAAATAGCGCAACTTCGAAGAGATTGCATTAAGTGTAAAAGAAGCTACCAAAGGAAAAGGAGGAAACGAAACGAGCAGGAATGCACTGAAGAAGCAAGGCGATAAAAAGAGAGCCGGAAGTCACTGGTCAAAGAGATCAAAATAGCGAAAAGAGAAATACTGACAGCAGCTCTGTCTAGAAGTAGAAAGGGATCCCTGGGGACAACCATATAAGATAGCCATGAAGAATCTGTGTGGTAGACGACCAATTCTCGAAGTGGAAGTTCCGGGAAGAATAGATGCCATTGTAGAAAAGTTGTTTCTAAGGAAGGAAACAACCTTGGAACTCAACAGCATAACAGAGAAAGAGAACATGCGGGTGGAGTTGCAACAGCAATACTCCAAAATCACGGAAACAGAAGTATTAGAAGAAGCCAGGAAATTGCCACGCGGGAAAGCACCTGGGCCCGACGGAATAGTTAACGAATTCCTCATAGCAGTCATCCAACTAGATCAAAAAGCTATTACCAACGTATATAACATGTGCCTGAAAGAGAGCTACTATCCGATAGACTGGAATGTATCAAATCTAGTACTGATCATAAACCAGGTAGACCACCGGGAGACCCGTCCTCCTACAGACCCTTATGCATGCTGAATACAGTCGGTAAGCTTTTCGAGAGGATATTTACAAGATGGCTGAACGTTTTTCTGGAAGACTCGAGAATACTGTGCGACTCACAGTTTGGCTTCCGGAAGAAAAGATCGACATTGGACGCCATCAAAAGATTACTCACAATCTGATCAAAACAGGCAAGGAGAGGAAAAAGGTCGTTGGAATGCTAACGCTATACGTATGCAACGCATTTAACACCGCAATATGGACAAAAATAACTGCAGCACTGAAAGAAATTAATGCACCAGAATATATACAAAAAATAGTAGGGTCATGGGTCATACCTATCGGACAGAAAAATCCAATAAACAATAGGAGACGAAGAAAAAAGAGAACAGGGTGGAAGCAGGAGTCCCGCAAGGCTCAGTGATCGGTCCATGCCTTTGGAACGTAATGTACAATGGCCTGTTGAAACAAAAACTACCAGAAGGTGTCGAAATAATAGCGTTTGCCGACGATGTGGCAGTAGTCGCGACAGAATGGCATAAAAACTTCTTGGAGGAGAAACTGGAGAAGGCATTCGGGATAGTCAAGGAATGGATGCAGAAGAACAGACTTTTATTGGCAGAACACAAGACAGAGGCTATCGTATTTACTACTCGATATACGCAGAAAAACATAAATGTTAAGTGCGGTAACGCGACGGTGAGCTCGAGCAATAAGATCAAATATCTGAGCTTAACGCTTGACACAAAGCTCACATTCAAAGAACATGCAGAACAAACAGCAAAGAAGACCGCGGTTATAGCAAGATAGCTAGGATACATTCTACCTAACATAGGTGGAGCTGGACAGAAAAGAAGAAAGCTTCTATCGTGTGTAGTGACTTCGATGCTCCTATACGGGGCACCTTGCTGCGCAGAGATAATGACGACTACAGCATGGAAGAAGTTAGAAATAGTGTAACGGAGAATGGCCATTACAAAAGTATGTAGCTATAGAACAGTATCCCATGAGGCCATTGTGGTTGTGTCTTCCCTGACGCCTTTAAAGGCCCTGGCTAAATACCGAGCAAACAAATATGGCAGGAAGGACAGAACGCAGAGCGAAGAAGACGTCTGGATTGAAAGCTGGAGTAACGCCACTAACGGAAGGTGGACATACAGGCTGATACCAAACGTCCAACAATGGGTGAGCAGGAAACATGGCGAAGTCAAATACCATTTAGCCCATTTCCTAACAGGACATAGGGCTTTTGGCGAGTACCTTTATCGATTCCGGCGAAGAAATACAGACAAATGTCAACTTTGTGGATTATCCCCCGATACGCCCGAGCATGTCTTTTTCGAGTGCGGCGCATGGGAGAGGCAAAGACAGGAACTGGTGGTGTACGTTGGCGAACAAATCAAGTTCGAAAACACCGCAAAATTAATGATGCAGAACAAGAAAACTTGGACGAGAATAGAGGATGCATTAACGAAAATTCTCAAAACCAGCGAGGAAGTGGAAAGGGAAGAAAAAAGAAGAAACGTAAATTAGTTAAGTTAATTACATGTGAGCTGAAAGCCAAACCAGGGGGGTTAGAGGCCCCCTACCAAATGTACACCCGCAACGCGGGTTATATGTGTAAATTGTGTTATTTTGTACAAAGTTTTCTCTCTTCACAATAAACGATGAGTCATGGGAGGCAGTAATACTCAAGCGATCACCTCCCATGTCTTGATTAAAAAAAAGAGATAATTTTAAATATCTTGGAGTAAATGTCAAAAATAAGAATAATATGCATCAGGAAGTCAGGAAGTGAATGTAAGAATTATGTGTGGAAACAGGTGTAACATTTGAGCTGACATACAACAGAGATAGATGGTGAGACCTCTTGAAGGCAGCAATGGTACTCAACGGACCGGTAAGCTGAGAAGAAGAAGAATAATTAGGGTAGAAAAATCATTTGAACTTAATTTTGAAATAGAGTTCTTAGTTATAACATATTCATACTTATATCGACTGGTATAAGGCAAATGGGTTAAGCGACATGGTGTATACTACGGGACAACCGACAGTTAAAGTAATCGAGCGCACGAGCGCTAGTGTCCGTAAGACAATTTACTAATGAGATAATTGATTTTTATTTTTCGGTATAAGCGATATTTATTGATAAAAGTTTATGGGCCAAGTACCTTTTTTAGGGTATAAGTGACACTGATAAAAATTGTTATTACCAAGTGACAAACACGTGGTGCTTGGGCCCCTCTATTATCGCTTATCACCTTTTATAATATTGATATTAATATTATGAGATTGTTTATCAAAATCAGTCACAGTATAATATATTTTATTTACTACACTTAATTTATTCATTTTTCGTGGTTTTTCATGGTTCTACACTAAAGATTGAAAGAACATCAGAAGGTAAATATAATAATATTATATATGAATCATTAGTAATATTGAAATTTAATTTCACATCAATTGTACACTGTAGTCGGTAGCTATTAATTAAAGTATACACTGTAAGTATATTATGGCATTGAATACAAACATTTAATGCTTCCAACCAAAGTTTTATATAAAACACATCTAGAAACTTATTTTATGCACTTATTATAACAATATTATATTTACATTATAGGTAACAGCCAGTGTTATAAATGTATTTATTTTAATAGATACTGTTATGTATTTTAAGAAGTGTTTTAAGTAATATATTGAAAAGTACTTATATTAAAATGCTTGTAAATATCTGTTTAAGTATTTAGATTTATTATCAAATAATTAATAATTATTACCAAAGTATAATGATTTTTATTAATAATTTTATAATTCTTTTACATAACTTTAAAAAATACAGAAAAAAGTGGTATTTTATAAATGTATTACCTACCTTAAATTAATTTGTATTAGATGTTAAAACAACTCATTGATATAATATTTTCAGTGGAAAGTATTTATTTTACTAATTTTAAGTTCTAGTATACATTTATTTTATTTTTTATTTGTTCCTTAACATTTTAAATATTTTTTCCAATTAAGACGTGTTCTATTACATTTTTTTAAACCTAAT